CCCTCAGTTCAGCTTCTTTCAAGCATTCTCAATAGTGTAAATCAAATTGTCTTTTCTATTGACAAGGGGTTATCTGATTGGAACTTCTCAGGAAACTGATTGATACTCAGGAAACACATACTTAGGAGCCAGCTTGACATTCCTATGGATAGCAGATATACTGATGGGATATCTCCTGGTTTCTTCAGAAACAGTAGCTTGCAGCATCAGGGTTTTGGATTACTTGTGAACAAGCCTCAGCTTAGCATGACTTTTCCAGATCTTACTATAGTCTTTTAACAGACTTAAGGCAATTATTGGAGTGTTCATAACCTTTTGTGGAGAGGACTTCCACTAGTCATCTCGGGAAAAGTATGACAACACTTGTGGATAGGGCTGCAACGGGCTGGACGCTGTGATGAACCCTGTACCATTGTTCAAATGTTATCCATACCCCCTCGGACTCGGTATATTGCCTCAGCATTCCCTAACCCGGCAACTGAGTTTTAGCCAATTAAGTTTACGTAGGCCTCCCATAGTGGGACCGGGGAATGTACGGCCCAAGATGCCTATTAAACTTACTTCTGCTTAGAGGTTTTGTGTGGGGGCGGGGAGGAAAAGTCCTTTGTAAACCCAGATTAGAACTTGTCTGGTAAATGCTGAGCTGAGTGTGAGGGTTGATCAGCATTTGGAGCACAGATTCCCCATCATGCAGGGTTCCCCTGCTTATCTGATCCCAGAATTCACTGCAGTCTCTGCTTCAGGTTTTCTGTTCTCCATCTCTCATGTAAATAAATGGTCATCTGGTCCCATCTCAGATGCAAATGAGACCTAGGGCAGTTGTTTCACTTTTGTCACCCTTATCTGGAGGGTTTTAGATGCGTCTCTCACTGCATTTTAATCAGTTTCTGTTTAGGTTGGGTGGGGGGGGATTCTTTGTGAGTCAGACAGTCTGCGTCCTGTGTCAGGGTTCCCCAAGAACATGGAGCTGACAGGTAACAAAGGTTACCAAGTCAAGCTCTCAAAAGTTAGAAAATGTATATACACGTGAGGTACAGTCTTTATTTATGTGACTACAGTTAATTTCTCCATAGGAACCAAACCTCATGTAGTGCACACTCCTGGCCTCTGTATAAGCCTTAGTTTGCTATAGACAATGACTTGTCAGGCCTCCAAAGACTTCAACATTCATACACACTTCTATCTTGTTAGGGAAAAGGAGCAGATATGCTGGAAGTCCTGGGTTGTAGATCAGAAGGAAAAACCAGTGGAGATGTTTGGACACTTTTTGGGACTGGGAGGCAGTGTTATGCTTGGATTAACTCTGTTTGTACTTAACATTAATGACTGCCGCTCCAAACATTCTTGAAGTATAACCTTACCATAGTTCATGGTACTTCTGTCCCTGAGCAAGTGTTCCATACATGGTTTCCCATAGCTATTTTATCAGTGCACACCCTGAGGGAAATAAAGACAAGTTTGTGAGCATTTGGGACTAGATTTGTGCTTTATGGCTGAGTCTACATGAGACACTGATTATGCATTCGTTACTGCACAATCATTTAGTACTTGTATAAACCTAAGTTACTGTGCAGTAGCATCAACAAATAGCTTTTTTGTGACACTGACTGTGAAGTAGCCTGAGACTGCTGTGCACTAGCATTGCATCACGCTTTCTGCCACATAATGCTACTGTGCAATAGTCTTGGGCTACTGCGCACTTAGGGTCTCATGTAGACGTGGTCTATGTAATGTATTTTAAATTATCATTAGCAAGTAATCTCTTTCCTGTTAAAATATCATGGCTCTTAGTGGATTTGCTATGTATATATGCTTTCCTGTCATGGTTGTTTCTGGAGTACTGTCATTAAAATGACCCAACTGCCTGGGCACATCTAAATGTGGAAATGCTCCAGGGTGGATTTACTTTAGAGTAATTTCATAGATTCATACATGCTAGGGTCAGAAGGGACCTCAACAGATCATCGAGTCCGACCCCCTGCCTGGGCAGGAAAGAGTGCTGGGGTCAGATATCCTCAGCCAGATGCCTATCCAGCCTTCTCTTAAAGACTCCCAAGGTAGGGGAGAGCACCACCTCCCTTGGAAGCCCATTCCAAATTTCCTTGAGTAAATCCATCCCAGGCAGGCATCTACATATATGGGGACATGGGAGCAGATTTGCTGCTCATGGCAGCAGTGTGCTCCCACCCCCACTGGCCCTGCACTGACTCTGCAGTAGCCAGGGAGAGCTCTAGACTCCTCCTGGGTGCTAGTCCAGGGGCTGGCATGGAGCCAGGAGACAGCTGTCTCCTGGAAGGAGCTGGGACATTGCTGCACCACTGGAGCCCAGTGGGGCGGGCTTCGCCACCAGAGCCTGAGTGGGGACAATGTCCATCTGCCTCGGCAGGAGGAAGCTCCCAGCCCTCTCTCTGTGATCATGGGGCCCAGGCTGAGAGATTCTTATTAGCCTGGGCCCTGCCACCCAGGGGGATAAGAATCTCCTAGCCCCCGCTTCCTGATTGCGATTGCAAAGCTGGGGCTGGGAGCTCCCTGTGGCTGGGGCATGGGTACATTGTTCCTGCCCAGGCTGTGATGACAAGGGAGGTGGTGTACGGACACCTGATTGAACAGTAGAGGTCCCAGATAATGCGTGTGTCCTATGTCAGGAGTGCCCTGTGGCAATGCAGGAACCTCCTGTTATACAGGCACACTGAGCTCAAGGAAGCAGACTGTGTTAAAATGTTTCTGAGCAAACTTCAGTCCTACCACTGGAAATCGGTGAGTGAGAATGGAGAAGACGTAGCCAACTTCATCTGGAAAAGTGACACAAGGCACAGGTTGTTCAGAGACCCTCCAGGAGGGGAAGTGGACAGAGAGAATGACAGAAGGGAGGGGAAGAGGACAGAGATGCAACTGGACCTGGAGACAGCGAGATGGACTACAACAGGATCAGCAGCAGCAGAAGTGACAGCAACATGGATAGTGACAGCAACAAGGACAGTGAATGAACTGAGACTGTAAACCCCAAATCAGGGTTTGGACTAAAGGACTGCAATTGGGGTAGGTGAGGATGGAGGGTGGGTGTACAGAGGTGCAGGGAGGGGAGTGGGTGCGTTTATTGTAACTGGAAGCACAGGTTTCTTAATGTGGTTTTAAGATGTGTGATGGAAAGTTTATGATAGAGGATGTATATAACTCAAAATATATTTTAATTAAAAAAAA